CAACCCACCCTTCATCGTCTTAATCCTACTTCAACATATTCTGGTGGCAAAAATACAGCCATAGGATCATTCAATCTATAAATTATATGTCCCTAAAAACTTGTCTTATGAAAATACAGGCAGACCTCATTTTATTGCACTTCACTTTACTGAGCTTCACAGATGCTGGGTTTTTACAAACTGAAGGCAAGATCTTCCAATAACAAAAAGATTATGACTCCCTTTACTGTAATATTCGCTTTATTGTGGTGGTCTGAAATCAAACTTGCAATATCTCTGAGATATGAATGGATAAATACTGTATTTAATTTGTGCTTTGATAATGTGAAAATATTTTGTGAATGCAGAATAGTAAGTACTACTCTGGAACACACAAACATACAGATATGGAAATAAATTCTTATGACAAGCAATTGAAAGACAACAAAAATTTTCATGCTAGAGATTTCTGGAAAAGGAGGGACTATTACAAATGGACCTGGGCTTCCCCAATGAGTTAACATCTGAGTTCAGTATTGAGGAAGAAGAAAAAGTTGTAGAAGACGTATCACTTTAGCTTAGACAAAAAGACAAACTCTTCTCTTTAGCTTTTTGAATTAAGTCATAATCTAGAGGTAGGAAAAGAAGTCTGCAAGTAAACCTAGCATTTGTTGCACAAGGCCTAACCATCTATTTGTCCATTTGGTACAATATTGCTGTAAAAAAAATCACACACAAAATCACCTGAAGGGTTGGAAAAATCCAACATGCTGGTAGTAGGCTGAAGAAGATCCGGGCTGCTAGATGACAGTGTTCCAGGAATAGGCATTATAGCCAGACTGTGTCTACAGTGTCTTGTTCCCACAATGCTGTCGTCTTGTGATTGGCTCAGGCCTCCGTCACTTCAAAAGAATGTCATATATCACTTTAAAGTATTTGAGGGTTCTAATAGTAAACATTACTGTTCTCTGTGCACTAAGGCATAAAGAACCAATTCAAAGTGGTGACTTTAACAATTAGATTCATTTTTTAAAAAAAGGGCAACTGTAATAATGAAAATGGCAATAAAATGCTTTTAACAGTGACTAATAAAATGTAACTTATACATCTAAGTAATTCTACCACCTCATAGAGAAATAGTCATGCTAGTTTCAAATGGTTTGGGGAGAGAAATTGAACCTGAGTGTTTAGGAAGCCTTTGAGATCTGCCAGTTTCAATGGATGCCAATACATGTATCCAACAATACACAGCCAACACCACAGCAAGGTTCTCTCCCTTTAACAGAAAAGCTTCGAAACCTCCTAGGCCAGTGGTTCTCAACCTTCTGGCCCTTTAAATACAGTTCCTCATGTTGTGACCCAACCATAAAATTATTTTCGTTGCTACTTCGTAACTGTAATGTTGCCATTGTTATGAATCTTAATATAAATATCTGATATGCAGGATGGTCTTAGGCGACCTTTGTGAAAGGGTCCTTTGACCGCCAAAGGGGTCGCGACCCACAGGTTGAGAACCACTGTCTAAGCAAAGGATGGAGTTGGGTCTAAACCCAAACCAAAGAAAGGGAAAGTTATAAAAAACAATGTGGGGCCAGGTTCAAGTGACAAAATAAGAAAGGTCTTTAAACATATGAACAATCTCACTGTCCAAATCACCAATAGAGAAAAAATAACGGGAAGATGGCACAGAGAAGAGCAACAAACAGAAAATATGTGACAAACAGAAAAAAGAAGGAAAAGGAGGACCAGGCACAAAAATGGAAGAAAAGAACTTTATAGTCTCTAATGTTTATTCTAAGGGCACATTATTTCTTTGGTGATCTCTCAAGTCTAATTATTTGTCTGTTTCCTAAATGAGAACATCAAAACCAGAATAGAAAGCAAGTTATTGAAAGTTAATTCTCTTTAAAGGTTTAAAAAACAAGTATCAATTAAATGGCCATATTTAAGCAAATAAAATACTTTTCCTTTAAAATATTTAGAAGTGTTACATAAACAACTCTAAGTGAAAAATAAAAACATAGAAACATAACTGTCACTTAACTTTTAGATAACTGCAAAAGTCCTATAAAACATAGGAAAACAGTCCTACCCAAACATGGAATAACCATAAAAAGGAAAAGTTTCCATCAGCATCAATAATCAAAATACCACTTATTTCTAAGGGTTATGCTTATGTTAAAACCAATGCTTTAGGTTAATATTAATTTTCATCTAAATTTTATTGAATGCAGCATTTTACCTAGACCTTGCTACACATATAAACAGAGATATCACAGAATACTTACCTATTAGCATGGAATGGATTAGTGAAAAATGAGTAACATGGGATACATCTAGAATATATTGGGAGTAAAAAAAATAGGATTTAGGCAGATTAGGAAACTATGCAAGATGAAATATAGAGGACTGTTAAATAAACAACTAAAGGAGTGTTAATAGCCAGACAAAGAAGAAAGAGCCAGGACAAGAGAGAGAGCAGAGGAGTCAGGAAAAAGCATGGAGACATAGAAGACAGCAAAGGTAAGCATTTCAAGAGCAAGCTATGTCAGACAGACCTGGGTTATTAGCTGTGTGACCTCAGGGACTTTTCTGTTCCTAGTCTTTGATTTCTTCATCTAAAAATGTGAATAACACTATCTCCCAGGATTACTTTAAGGATTAAATTAGGCAATGTAGGTGAACATCTGGCACAGAGAAAAATAGGGTTCCTATTTTTAAGACGATGGTGAAGTATTTTTACCAAAATTAAAATTGAACAGTAGAAGTAAGAAAGGATTTTAAGCAATTCACACTGCAATACAGTAGGGGTCAGGGTGGGAATGACAGGTAAAGGCACTACAGAAAGAGAAGTGTTTCCCTGAGTAGAGAAGTCAGTCTAATTTAACAGATAAAGCAAAGGAAATATCTTATTTAATAAGTAATTTGAGCTTGTGTTAAATTGGCTCCTTAAAATTGGGTGTGTTTCCCTGAAGATCAGAGCTAAATGTTTTAAGATTAGGTAAGAGAAAAAAAGGAGGCAGGGGCCTTTCACAGATATAGTATCTACGGCTTAATAAGTAATTTGGCAACAATTTAAATTATGTAGGAAATATGACACTTTTAAAAAACACAATGGTCTTTCTTTTATAAATTTTTGAAAACAAACCTGCCAATTTTTGGACACAGAGGGTCAAATAACTGAATCCAAGGAAGCAAACTGTTAAAAGAGATCAGTAGCTAGTCCTACTAATCTCTTAAAAGTTGTTAAAAACAACTTTAACAATGTTAAAATGTTGTAATTTTATATTAAACTAGGTTGTATTAGTTGCAATAAATCGAAATTTAGAGACTAAGAGAAATGTACAAAATATTCTAAGTTCTTAACTCTCTTACTGATCTTATTTAACATTAATTCTGCTTTTTAATAAGCAATAGATTTGACACTGTACAGTTATAATAATTTTTCCCCGCCCAGCCCCGCCCCCAGTTATAATAATTTAAAGTTGGTTACAAATCCATGTTAATTAAGGTGTGAGCATGTATAAATGAAAACTATAGTCATGTTAAGTACAACTCATGCTATGACATGAATGAAATAGTATCTGATTGGCAAAATATCCATGCTTGTTTGGAAGCCGAATAAAACCTATTTGCAAGTAATTATGTCATTTCTTACCAAAACAGTCTCCTGAGGTGATGCAGTAATAGAAACAAGACAGTTTTGAAAAATTCCTTAATAATTCCCTGACACTATATTTAAAGTATATTTTAGTTTTATATCATGAAACTAAAAAGGCAATGTAAATACCAACATGAAATAAAAAATAATCCCAATATTAAAAGAAAAAAAACATATGCTAACAAGAAATGAGGAGGAACAATAATTTCTGATAAGAAAATAAGGCAGTCTATTTCTTGGACTGCTACAATGAATAACATGAAGATGTTACTTAGACAATCTGTGATTAAAGAAAACAAAATAAAAGCTGAGTGATTAAAAACATAGGAGATCAGAGTTCCTGAATTGTGAAATAATCTCAGCTCAATAAGAACCACATTGCTATGTGTTAATCTACAGATGTTATTCAAAATCAGTAACTTTTCTTTGTAACTTCTAATTTTCAGGAGCATTCTTGCATTTTAAAATGATGACATGGCTAGGGATTTTGAGAATTATCTGTTCTTATTTGTTCCTTCCTCGAATTCATTTTCTTTTGCTCATCTCACAGATGTAGACATTCTTTTTCTTTTTCTTTTTTTTTTTAAATATATTTTATTGATTTTTTACAGAGAGGAAGGGAGAGAGATAGAGAGTTAGAAACATCGATGAGAGAGAAACATCGATCAGCTGCCTCCTGCACACTCCCCACTGGGGATGTGCCCGCAACCCATGTACATGCCCTTGACCGGAATCGAACCTGGGACCTTTCAGTCCGCAGGCCGACGCTCTATCCACTGAGCCAAACCGGTTTCGGCTAGACATTCTTTTTCATAGTCTCTCTCTGACAACTTATCCTCTACTCTTAGAGAAGTGTACTGCAAAAGGCAGGGACCAACTGCCCTTTCCAGAGTCCTGGAACATAGGAGATGTTCAGAAATTGGGGCATTCAACTCATTTTATTTTCATTAAAAAACAAGTATTCAAAGTAGAAAACTTAAAAAATACAGGAAACAAGAAAGTAAGGAAGAAAAAATTACTAATAAAAACCACGCCTTTGTAAAAACCATAATCATTTGTCTTCTAGTCAGTTTTGTAGTATATATAGCACAATTACTTAACCAATTGCTTGTAGTTGTACATTTAGGGTATTCCCAATTTTGTTTTATTATAGAAAAAATTACTGAGAACATCCATAAATTAACCTGAATCTAATTATTAGTAGAAATGGAATTATTGAATCAAAGGTATGAACCTTCTTAAAGTTCTTCATTAAAAAACCTGCCCAAATGTTTTATAGAAAGGTTGCATCATTTTATATTTCCACAGCAGTCTAAGCTTATTATCTACTCTACTAGAGGCCTGGTGCACGAAATTCATGAATGGTTAGGGTCCCTAGGCCTGGCTCTCGATCAGGGCCGATCTGTGGGGCGACCAGCGGGGCAATCGGGGGGCCCTGCTGGCACCTGCCTTCACTTGCCAGCCCTGCCCCCCGCCGCTGGTCGCCTCCCTCTACGGGGCGACCAGTGGCGGGGGGATGAGAGGGCCCCCATTGGTACCCACCTTGGCTGGCCTGGAGCCTGCGGGCAGCTCCTGCGTTGAGCATCTGCCCCCTGGTGGTCAATGTGTCTCATAGCAACCAGTCATTCCACTGTTCAGTTGATTTGCATATTAGGCTTTTATTATTTAGGATAGGATGTTATCAATTCTGGCCCTAACTATTCTTTTTGTTGATCTTTATCCACTTTCCTGTTTAAATTGTATGTCCTTGATTATTATTGATGCAGAGCATCTGTTTCATGTACTCTACTTTTCTATAGAAGTTTTCTATCTAGTGATTCTTTTGCATGTATAACAAAAGGGGTTGTCTAAATTCATTTTTAATGATTAAGTGTCAAATATGACATACATTCTGAAAAATTAAAAATGGCCACTCTGGAAAGTAAAATAAATCTGTTCTCTCTGAAAAACGGATTTCAATAGAAAACCTTTATAATTTCTACTAAAATAATCTATTTCTTGGTATTTATATGGCTGAAATAGCATTTTACTTAACCAAAACATGTTTAGAAGAGAAAGCCAGTTTAAAATGAAGGGCAGCATTTTATTCATGTTTGTATTCATAGCCAGCAGCCTCTTACTGGCACAAAGCAAGAGACTCAATAAATATTCGTTAATAAATGAAAAAAATCCCTTCTGAGCTTAAGTAAAACTTCTACTAGATCTTTTTTTTGGTACCAATATAAAGAAATAATGCTTGAAAATATTTAATTAATTGCTCCTTGGACATTTCCTTGTCTCTGCTGTAACCAAAGATGTAAGTCAAAGATTGGTGGACATTTGGTCCTGTCTAAAACATCCATAGAGATAGTAGGTCCAAAAAGTCTTGAAATCTGGTCCTGTCAAAATGTCCTTGAGCATATTTGGTCCATACCAAATGATCCTATCTAAATCCCAATCTGAATCCCAAACCACCTAGGCTAATGAGGGAGGAATGGTTATTATTAGAAATACAGTCATAACACAATTAGACCAATAAAACACAATAGCATTTCTTATATACTTATCCTGTAAACCAAAAGTAAAAATAACTCTTGTAGGCTATTTGAACTCAGGGTCTTTTTCTAAGCTTGGACATTTCTGGACAGGACCAACTGTCTGGCAAGGAATCCAAGTGGAGTAACCAATTCCTACTTCTGAAGGAGACACTGTGGAGATGAGATACTGACTTAGCTATCTGAAACCTGAATATAGCTGGTTGGAATGTGAAGTTAACAAGCTAAAATCAGTTACAATCAGTGTACTCTGGTTTTTGATGACAAATATCACAACTGTGCCACTGTTGAAAATGGGAACCACTTAAGGAAGATACATATATTCCAGACCAAACCCACCAGGGTTTCTGGAAATGGAACTCAGGGCATTATCTCCTGAGGAACTCCTCTTGTACACTCTTTTCTGCCTCTAGTCCTCCATCCTTTTTCCTTTCCCTCAGTGCCTTCATACAGTGACTTCTGCTCATGCCAAATTGTCCCCAATCTCTTCAGTGTGAGCTGGCCCTCTTACATTCTCCTTACTCAATGGTCATTTGTTAGAACAAGCCTTTTCTTACAATGTTTGCAGTGCTGCTACAGTATGCTCATATTATAAGAACTTTGCTATTTTAAAATTATGACTTTTATAGACCACTCGCTTCAGGAAAGCAGTTATTCCGGAAGGAATGAGTAATAAACCTTCTAGACATGACTGACATCAAGAACAGAGCTCAGGATGTTTCAATCCTCTGTGAGCCCAAAATTAAATGAAGAGCGAATTTGTTCCCCAGACTGGAAATAACATTTCAAGGAGAACATTTCCCAATCAGGAAATCTTTTGAGATCTTGACATAAAAGATGAGAACTGACGTTTACCTGTTTCAAAGTTGCCTCCCAATTAATCTCCTCGCTATTACTGCTAATTTTGCTGCATCTTCCATCCCAAGCTACAAACACGCTAACAGAAGTTCCTAAAAGCACAAATCTTATCACATCATGTTTTCTCTGGCTCCCTATTATCTGGCTCCTAGTAAGATATAATAAAGTCCTCATCTGTGGCATAATATTAAAAATCCTTCATAACCTAGCACTTACCGATCTCTCCTGCTTCACCTTTCCGGGCGTGCGCGTCTGCGCGCGCACGCGCGCACACACACACACACACACACACACACACACACACACACATCTATTCAAACTTACCAGGCTTGTTCTTGCTTTTGGACATTATCAAAGCATTTATCATCCTCTAATGCACCATTGGCCTGCTTTTCCCTTTTAGATAATCAACTCTTAAAGGACAAGAAACTTGTTCTACTTATCATTCCATATTTCTATCTCTGGACATTGTGCCTAATGTATAATAAATGCGAAAGGGTTTCTGATATGAATTCCTTAAGGTAGGAACTACCTCTTTTCAACTTGATAATTATCATCTGTCATAGTGCCAGGAACCAGAAGCCAAATAAGTATTTTCTTTGAGCAATTTTTATTTGAATATTCTTTCTTTTTTTCCTTGACTGTGCCGGCCTACTCTGCTTAAGTACTATATTTGATTAGAACTTTTGTGATTGCTTAAAGAAGTAGATAATGTAGAATATACACAGACATAATATATACCAGACTCATTTCCAGTCATGACACTTCAGTGGATTGATTTCATCAGTATTTTATAGACCTTAATTTACATAGGAAATCTTGAACTTTTACTCAGTTTTAGTGACATCTCATTTTGGAAATAGAAATACATTTGATTAATAAGGCCAGCATTAGAATTCAAGAGAAAATAAATAGTGCAATAAGAGAAAGTTAATTTAAAAAACAAAACCTACAATTAGTGAATGTGACAGAAGATTTAAGGTGTCCAAATTTGTAGGTAAAAGGACTAAAACTATACCAAAAATATACCCCCTTCTCCCCTCCAAAACAAGATTTTATAAAATGGCAGTTGTTTCTAAAATTCAAAAGAAGGCTAATAGAAGACTATATAATCTAAAACTGGTAACTTCAATGAAAAGATGGGAGACATTCAGAATTTATTCTCTTTTATTTATGGATCACGTGTAGATTTTATGATGCATTAGTTGTATAAAAAACAAAACTGACCCAAATTTCACTTCCCCAAAATAAAAAATTTATAGTCAACAGGAAAATGCCCATATGACTGAGAATGGCATTACATACCTAAATAGTTTGGGAGGCAAGATACTAAATCGTGTTTTATCCAAAATTTTCCTGATTTTGTTTCTTCCACCTGAAACAGTATTTGCTTTTACTTTCTTATTTCCTTTCTCCTGTGGTGCCTGCTCAATATCTCCTGGTACATCCTGGATTGAATGGCGATTACTTTTTTTTTCAGCAATTTTTGGAATGTGAGGAACACCAGATTTTTCTTGTTCAGTCCTACTAAGTAACTCTTTGAACACTGTGGGAATAAATAAATAAACTTGTCATTTCTTCAGGTTAGAAAGCTTTTATATTAACAGCAAATTTTGAGAATAAACAGTCACTTTTTAGCACTTGACATTTCACAGCCTTATTTATTCATGAAATTTATATCCTTCCCTAATCAGTTATATCCACTTCTTGTTACAGTTTTTATACCTGACTATACTGCTGATGTTATCTCAGTGAGGAAAATGAAAAGGAGGTAGCGAGCCAGCCAGCATGTTTGAGAAGTTCTGGGGTTCCTATTTAGAAAATAAGCTATATAACTGCTCATCAACTCAGATTTTATTAAAACAGATATTTAGATTCTATTATTTATGTTACTTCTAATGATAAGGTGAGATGAGATATAAGTACTACATTATGCTCAGTTTTGCAAAAGTTACCCATTAAAAAAATGGGAAGAGCTTTGCTTGACCAGTTTTTACCAAAAATAAATAGTACTACATTTGGTAACATATGACATCTTCCTCAGTGTTACACTCATGAGACTTATGTCACTCAATAAAGTAAAGCAACTAATAAACATTCACTGCAGTGGTCTGGAGTAAAAAACCAATTGTCCTTAGCTAACTTTCTTTTGACCCTAAGTCTGGTGTGTTACTTCATCCTTAAGGAGGATACATGTGCATTGGGGGACTTGCTTGTCTAGCAATCTCTTTGCCAAGATTCAATTTTTCAACTTGTGAGAGGAGCTTTATCTCCCTGGAATCAGGCAAAAGAAAGAAATATCTGTAAGAGGCTATATATCTAGAAGCTATTAAGTGACTCATTTTCCAGTTAGAAAAAGCTGCCACCTTTTTTTCATTAAGTAATATCATGAAAAAGTTTTTTTGGTGGTGTTTAAAATGTGTGTTCTTAAATAAGACAGATCAACTGCTAGAAGAAAAAAACACACACTAAAAAGATAAATGCTAAAGTACAAGGAAACTTTCCTAAAAACTTGTGGTGCCTGGGGGGCGGGGGATGTCTGAATGAAAGAAAGATGGTGGCTGCATATTTTTAAATATGCGGGTCTTCAGCCCCATGATATGTGGAACTTAAGATTAACAGTTACAACTTTAAGCAGTACTACTCTGTACCTCCATAGAAGACAAGCTGTAAACTGTATAAATGTGCCCACTGAAACTCCAACCACAGAGAACTGCGATACTTTCACTTATTTGGGGGGATAAACCAGTTTTCCACAAGATCAAGGACCAATAAGTAAGATTCAAATGGACAAAGCCTTAAGAACTGACACCTTACCACTATAAATAATTTGGTTTTTAGTTGTAACACTGGACCATTTTTAAAGTTTCAACCAGAATGATTTCACATTACCAGAGTATATTGTAAGCTTATGAAGAGCACATTTCTGCCTTCAAAACAATTAAAATCTTTATGAGTCACCTTTCAAAGATACTCTGCTTACAAAGGCAGTTATTAAGATACAATAACTGCCTTTCAGTTTCTATTTTTATATTCACTTTATTTTAAGTCACGTGGTAAAGGCAAAAAGGCTTTTTTGAGCTAAAATCAAGATATCCACCCATTCAAAAAATATTTGCCAACTTGTAAATATATGTCAGGTACTATACTACCTGTCTGCAGAGACCTCCTATTGGGGAACATACAGTCTACAATACAGAGAAGACATAAGGGACAGAGAGAACATAATGAGATAGAGATAATAGAGATAGCAAGAAAGGGAAAATTTTCTTTAAATAAGTCACTGTGTATGAAGAGGTCAATAAAGTGAGTAGATTTTTAACTAAGCAACAGGAGGGGAAGGAGGAATGAGTCTAGGTAGAGGAAATCTCTACTTCAAAGTTCCTGTGGTAAAGGAAATGTTAAGAACAACAGTAAATCTCTCAATAGGCAGCAGATAATTCTGGCTATAGTGTGTATGTAAGGCGCTTCAACAGTGTACAAAGTAGTTTCTAATTTGGGAAAAATATTTACAACCCTTAAGATAAAATGACAGGACATTCAAACATATAAACAGATGAGTAACTCAGCATAAAAATGGACAAATAAAATACTTTTTATAGCTCTGGCTGGTGTGGTTCAGTTGGTTGGGCTTCGTGTGTGTGTATGTGTGTGTGTTGTTTTTTTTTGCTAGTTCAATTCCAGGTAAGGAACACGAGGCAGCCAGCAATGTGTTGTTTTCTCATCAATGTTTCTCTTTCTCTCCCCCTCTCCTTTCCTCTCTCTCTAAAAACCAATAAAAAAAAAAAAAGATTTTATAACACACATGAAAAAGTGCTCAACCACTCTCATTATTAAAGAATACAACAACTAAAGTTGAGTATGCCCACCGCCGAGGCATTCTTCTTCTTTTTAAAATATATCTTATTGATTTTTTACAGAGAGGAAGGGAGAGGGATAGACAGCTAGAAACATCGATGACAGAGAAACATCAATCAGGTGCTTCCTGCACACCTCCTACTGGGGATGTGCCCGCAACCAAGGTATATGCCCTTGACTGGAATCGAACCTGGAACCTTTCAGTCCGCAGGCCAACGCTCTGTCCACTAAGCCAAACCGGTTAGGGCCTGAGGCATTCTTAAACACTGATGAATGAAGTGAGGTATGCAGACTGGGGTAAACTTTTGGAAACTGCTTCCACTCTGAGAAATTTATAGGTGTGTCATATAAGCATAAAAGATAAGCACTAAGAGTTTTTATTACATAATTTGTAAATAGCAAAAACTGGTAATAACCTAAAACATATATTTGAGTTGACATCAACTTAACAGATTGCGATGATAATGCAATGGAATTCTATGCAATAACAACTATACAAGAGTAAATCTGTATGAACTGATGTGGAAAGGTAAAGAATACTGTGCACAGTATAGTTCGATGATGCATCTTTCTTGGGTGTTTTAATTTTCAAAACATATCCGTGTATTACTTTTATTAAAAAATGAAAATGCTCCCCAGTGGAGTGGCTTAGTGGTTGAGTGTCGACCTATGAACCAGGAGGCTGTGGTTCGCCTCCTGATCGGGACACATACCCGGGTTTCGGGCTTGATCCCCAATGTGGGGTGTGTAGGAAGTAGCCAATCAATGATTCTCTCTCATCATTGATGTTTCTATCTCTTTCTCCCTTTCCCCTCTTCTCTGAAATCAATAAAAATAAATTTTAAAAAATTTAAATGCTAATAGTAAATTATCTGAGTGGTGGGATTTTAAAAGATGTTAGAAAGTTTTGAAGGCCAAGAGCATCTGATGAACTGAAATTCCAGAGCAGGAAGAATGTCAGCTGAGAATACCAGCTGTTTTCTTCTCTGCAGACATTTACTGCATCTAAACATGAAATGTGGATCAGGTGGAGGTTGTCTACTAGAGGAAGGAGGATTTCGGATGGCTGTGCGTACTGCATAAAAACTGCAATAGAGAGAAGGACAAAAGCAGCGTCACTTTTTTCCACAGGACATCTCTATTAGTAGTATTGCAGCCTTTAGATCTATTTTACTGTCTCCCAAGATCCATGTTGTTAACCAGTATGTTATACTATTTTTGTATTTTTATACATAATATTTGATATCAGTTAGTAATTATTATGTGCCAGGTACAAAAAGTTAAAAGTACAAGAACCCTATAAAACAGAGTTGGAGAAACTGAAGTTTGAAGAGACTAAATAATTTGGTCTTGGTAATAGAGCAAGCTCTGCTTTCACATTTTTCAAAATCAGAACCCTTTTGGTTTAACCCAAAAGTTGATGTTTCTAGATACTAGTTCCAAACTCCAGGAAATCCAAAATCTGGCAAGACTTTCTTATTTGTTGCTTAATGAATACAATATTAGGAATTGCAAATAGATAGTTACTTACCATGACTTCACATGAGGTAATTCAGTAAAAGGAACTCAAATGAAATGAGGAAAAACAACATGTTTCATTTTTCATTATGACTAAGTGCAGTACAAAGAGGAGCCAAAGAGGAAAAAAATAGACACACTTCCTTTTCTATACGCATAGCTTTTAAATTCAATTCTTATTTCTCAAACTGCAACCTAAAGGACCTATGAGAAACTTTTCCCTCTCTACTTAGTAAAGACTCAAATTTTCTTTGACAGTTTCCAATTGTTATATTGTTTCCCTTCTCAGAATTTCAGGGAAACTCAATGGCATCTAATAAAACCAAACTACAGAAAGTCATTCCTAAATGTCTAAAAAACTCAACAACAAATAGATTAAGTTAAAAGTACAGGCTTAGCCATTGGTTCAATCAAATATAAACAGGATCAGAACACACTTCAGGCACAATAATCAACATTTTTACATAAAAGTAGAGTATGTAAAAATACTCTACTTTTTTTATAATAACAAATTTGTTATTATAAATTTATAATTTACTGCTTAATTCAATGTTTTACTCAATTTATTTCCATGAAACATCTAATCTGGCATTCGTATTATTATTTCAAAAACCTAGCCTTGTGGTCGGCAAACCGCGGCTCGCGAGCCACATGCGGCTCTTTGGCCCCTTGAGTGCGGCTCTTCCACAAAATACCATGTGCGGGCGTGCACATAGAGTGCAATTGAAACTTCGTGGCCCATGCGCAGAAGTCGGTATTTTGTGGAAGAGCCGATATTTTGTGGAAGAGCCACACTCAAGGGGCCAAAGAGCCGCATGTGGCTCACGAGCTGCGGTTTGCCGAGCCGCAGTTTGCCGACCACTGACCTAGCTAAAACATTAGAAGTAGAATGATTTGCACATTAGCAGGGGGTGGAGGGTGGGGAAACCTAATTCTGATTTTAAGTTTCATTCAGTCATTCTAAGTCTTACTCAGTATCTTCCTACAAAGTAAAGTACATAATAGATTCTCAATAGACATTTTATAAATGGCTGACTGAATATAGTTATACACATGTTTTAAAATGTACTTTCTAGCCCTGGCTGGTATGCTCAGTGGATACAGCTTCTGCCCCTGCATCGAAGGGTTGCAGGTTCGATTCCAGTCAAGGGCATGTACTTGAGTTGCGGTTCGCTCCCTGTCCCAGTTGGGGCATGTGTGGGAGGCAACCAATAAATGTCTCTCTCTCTCTGACTCTCTCCCCCCTCCCACCCTTTCAGTCTCTCTAAAAATATAAATAAAATACTACATATCCCAACACCAAAGACCCTAAAAATATTCAAATAGCTAGAAACATGTTTACATTTTACTATTCTCCTTTACATTATAATGATTCTTTTTCTATTACAAAAAAAGCTCAGACAATTTTTAAACAAAACTCACCAAAAATATTGGTCTTTACAGTAAGTGCAAGATGAGTATTATTCCTCAAAATTTCAAGGGCCTTCACAAATGTAATATTCTCGAAGTTTTGTCCATTTACTTCCATTATCTTCAGAAAAGTATTTGAAAAATATAAATTAAGACAGAAACAGTATCAGTTACCTCTGAAACCTTAAGTTTAATGGTTAAAAAAAAAATAAATGAAATGAAACAAATAAAATGTGCCTGTAAGTGAACAAGTTATCTCTGAGAATTGGGATTACTGTTTAATTTTTTTCCTCAATATTGTTATATTTATCCAAATTTCTACTATAAACATTTTTTAAAAGTTCATTCTCTCTGGAATCATATTAGAGAAATTTAAAAAATAACATAGGTTGGTTTTTATGAAGGAAAATTTTTAATCATGCCATCAGTCCATAAAAAGTATTGCCTGTGTGCACATACAAATTTTATGAAACATTCTAAATGAAAATTTATTGCATTTAAAAGAGATAAAAGTGGTACTCTGAATATATCTAGTAACATTTCCTGCCACTGCTGAATCAGGCAGTCCAAAAGAAAGCAGCACAAACTGTAATTTGGTTCTTCCATGTGACACTGCTGATACTTCAAACAGAAGGGCTTCTCAAACTTGCTGTGCGTCAGAATCACACAGGAAGTATATTTAAAGAATACTAATTCCAAGGGAAAGGGATAAAGAAATAAACATATTGAACAGAAAAAGAAAGCAGCACAGAGGAAAGATCTCAGGAACTGACAAAGATTCCCAAGGATACAAAGAGAGTGAGAAACAAAGTAGTAGGAAAAAAAACTTAAAAATCACTGAAGTAAAATTCCCTGAGTTGAAAATATCTAGTCTATATACTGAACTGGATTTTCTAGTATCTACACTAATAAAAGACAAAGATGCTAATTGACTGTACCTTTGCTATGCCCACCAGCCAATCAGAAGAGTATACAAGTTAACCCAACAAAGATGGCGGTTAATTTGTATACACAACCACCCAGTGAAGACTGAAGACAGTGTAGAAGGAAGCCAAGCACTGCAGAAGGGAGCCAAGCGGCAGAGAAGGGAACAGATCAGAGGTAGCAGAGACAGGAGTGGAGCTGAGGCAGCGGACACGGGAGGGAACGAAGTAGCGGAGAAGGGAGGGAGTGAGGCGGTGGACATGGGAGGGAGCCTAGGCGGCGGGAAAGGGAGAGAGCCGAGGCGGCAGAGACGGGAGGGAGCGAAGCCCGCCTCTGGCTTCGCTCCCTTCTCTGCTTTGCTCTGGTCTCAGGAAGTCCTGTTCTTGCAGGAATAGGCCCGAGGAAGCCCTATTCTTGCAGGAATATTCCTGCAATGAGCCTCTAGTATATAAAAATTAAAAAATAAAAATATTTTTAAACATATCTCATGAAAATTTTGAATTCCAAGGATAGAAAACAAGAAGCTATAAGCATTACTGAAGGGGTGAGGGTAGGGACCAAAGCTACCTAAAAAATAAATATAAAAGTTGGTTTGGACTTCTCTTAAGCAACAAGCACTAAAATGACATGATACTTATCTGTGACTAAAAAACTGTGAGGAAAAAATAAATGTGACCAAAGAATTTTATACTTTACTGAATAAAAGCATCATCAGACATGCAATGACACATAAAACTCTAGTACCCATTTGCCCTTTTTCAAAAAAGTACTAGAAGACAATGAGATGAAACCAATGAATAGGGACAATTGGCACAGATGAAATGAAGGCAATCAATGAAATTAGTAAGGTAGGTATAAATGTCTAAATAATTATCCTATTTCATAAAAGAGTAATATGCAAATTAACTGTCACCCTGTAACAAAGATGGCAGTGCCCATAGCGGCCGGGGCAGGACGCTGGTGGCGTCACCCCAGCAACGTGAGCCCAGCAGGCAAGTGCGCCCACAGGCAGCACCCAGCAGGGCCTGCTTGCCCATCCCCATGGTGTGGAGCAGGCAGGCCCCACAGAGAGCAGAGAACCATGGGGAGTGGGCCCAAGCTGTCAGTAGGACATCCCCTGAGGGCTCCCGAATTGGATAGGGTGCATGTCTGGCTGAGGACCCCCCGCCATGCACGAATTTTGTGCACCTTGCCTCTAGTAAGTAATAAAATTATGTAACTTTATGTAAATGTCAAAAGCATTCTTAAAGAAGAATGTTAAAAAACGACTTAATAATCTAGATATAAAATCTCAGATAATTTCAATGACACTTGGGAGGATTGAAGGAAGAAGTAAAAGCATGATTATTTTTTTTCTTCTCTCAGAAATGAAATAATTTGATTTCAGTACTTTTTTCTGTGAATAGATTTTTAAATGTGTTCACAATAAATTCCTGAAATAATAAATATACTGACTCCAGGATCCTAAGTACTAGAAATTCTTAATAAGCAATCCCAGGTAAGGCTAAGAAATCTCTATTTTTTAAAAAGCCCCCTTAAGGAAAAAAGGGGATCATTACAACTTTATATCAGAGTTTCTTAACTGTCTGTATTATTGACATCTGGGTTGGATAACTCTTTGTTGTGGGGGCTGTTCTATTGTGAGGTGTTATAGGCAGTATAGCAGCATCCTGGCCTCTATCCACCAGATGCCAGTAGTAATCCCCAAGTCATGACAACTAAAAATATATCCAGACATTGCCAAATTTCTCCTGGGGGACAAAGTCACACCTGGTTGAGAATTCCTGTTCTGAGATACAAAACAACTTCTAATGTGAATGCCCAAAAATTATTTTAAAAAAATAGTATGGTTCAGTTAAAAGTAATATAAAGCTACATTCTCAATTAATGGATGAACTAACCAAAATTTTAAAATGGGGAAAAGTAAGCTTCCCAAGTGATTCAGCTAGATTTGGGAAACCACTCTTTGCTGTACATAAGAATCATCTAGAGAGCTTTGATAAAAATACAGATTCACAGACTTCAGATCTGGAGAATGTGATTAATAGGACTGATGTGAGCCTAGGAATCGCATATTTTAGTAATAACATTGTCAGTAATCAAGATTTTGAAATATGCCGCACTCTAGTTACTTAATGCCTATAAGGAGAGAATAAATCCCTACCAACTTTCTCTGCGTATCTCCTTTCCCCTAGTCCCTTACCTGGCTCACTGCTTAGGAATTGTAGTCTATTATCATATGAACATTATTTAAGCTGAAACCATCATTTATGGTAATCTCAAGCCACTTACATTTTAGAGTGCTATGAATGGAAGTGCTTGCTCCTTCCAACCTTCCAAAGGTGCTAACTCATATACTGAGCTTTCTGAAAAACTTTGAAGTTGCCAGATATACAGTTTCCTAATCCTTAGAGGATGGGCAGGACCATTCAAAAAGGTCATGTTGATAGTGACTAGACAACCATGCTGTTTCTGGCCATACTATATCAAATTTCCCATTAAAAGTGATAGATATATGACAAATACATTTTAAAATAAGCCATTTTAAAATACCACATCTCAAAAAGCTCTAACAATACTTCCTTAAATTGATCATGTTTATTTGAAGAAAAATGTAGGTGACAAAAGAAGTAGCAGACTTATCACTTATAGGAAGGCTTTAATTTAGCCCTGGCTGGGTGACTCAGTTGCTTGGAGCACTGTCCCGTACACCAAAGGTGGCAAGTGCAATTCTCATTCAGGGCACGTACTTAGGTTGCGGGTTTGCAGGGTGCATATGACAGTCAATTGATGAATGTTTCTCTCTCACAATGATGTTTCTCTCTCTCTCCTTCTATAAAATCAGTGGAGACATATCCTGGGGTGAGGATTAAAAAAAAATGTTTTAAGTTAAAAAACTTAAGTTGCCCCCCAGGAGAGAGGAAGGAAGAGATAGAAAAAGAAACATTGATGTGAGAACAAATCATCAATCAGCTGCCTCCTGCTGGAGAATGAAACCAGCAACCTTTTGGTGCACAGGAAGACACCCAACCAACCGAGTCACAACATCCAAGGCAAGCAGGCTTTAATTTAAGTGGTCAGTTATCCACTTACCTCAGCGATTTTTTAAGACACACAATACCTCACTGTTTAGGCAGGGGCATTACCTCTTTTCCCTTATATCGGCAAACAAGAGCCAACACAACAATAACTGGTCAGTGTGAATTAATAAAAATTATATCTATTTTTCTGTCAGATTGGCAAAAAAAAATATATTTTCTGATGTGCCACAGAATTCTAGTAATTAGTTTATGTGTGCCACGAGATGAAAAAGGTTGAAAATTGCTGACTTACCTGATCACCACGTTTCAGTCCTGCATCAGCAGCTTTGCTATTAGGTTCTACTCCTTCAACAAAAATACCAAATCCCTTCTCACTTCCTCCATTAAGACTGAAATGCAGAGGGGACTCCCGGGAGGCTTTTTGCAACACAACTTGTCTCCACTTAGCCTTTGCAGCACATGCAATATTCAATAACCGGAGATGACCATTCATTTTCTAGAAAGTAGACAAAAGAAAAATATATACAAATGTATGTATCTACTACTATAGGCTTTAACAAAAATGACCTAAAATTATTAGAATTAAAGCAGAGTAAAGAACATGTAAGTTGGGGTGAATAAAAGTGAAGGAGAAGTTCCACCCCAGAGCACTCTTAAGTATCTCTTAATATGAAAACTTCTAGATAATTACAAATTAGAAAAGATTTCAAAGTGATGTCTCATTTAGAGGGGGATGACAAGAAATTACTCCTCATTTCTTAAACCTTCCCTAATACATACTGTACTATTTTGCTTATCTCCTGGCTGTTATATACAACCCAAATCATTTTAAAACATTTATTTAAAACCTTATAGGACTTGAACCACCTTTCCAAATACTAATATCCAAAGTAAAGCAGAGTCATGTCTTCACCTCTCCCAAGAATGCTATTCCCATATTATTTTAGATCTTCTTTAAACTCAGTAATATTCTAACTTCTATATTCTAATACCAGTTTAATATCCAACTACTCTCAAATAATGTAATATGTATAAATCTCATATCCATAACAAGAAGCTAAAGTTTTTTCAGCATGCAGGAGGCAACTATTCAGTGTGTCTCACATCCATGTCCCCCCCTCCCCACGTCCTTCCACTCTCTCTAAAAATCAATGGAAAAAATATGCTCACTCCTTGGGTAAGGACCAAGTCTTACACCTGTTCTGATCCTATATAACACCTTGAAGTATAAAGTAGAATTCCATAAATAATTGACGACTAGCTGATTACTGGGGGAAAAATATCCCATGATTGTAAGGCCCCCTTCTATCTTCCATGAGCCCCTTGAATATCTATTCAAGCCAGCACTGGAAGACCCAAATGATGGAGGCCTCTATGACCTCTTAGTCAGATTCCCCAGTTCCATTCAATCTCCCATTTTGCATACAGCAGACATGATGCCCAAAAGGCTAGAGGAACTAAGGAGCAGAAAAAGGGACAAAAGTCTGCCAATTTCCCCCTTTATGCAACTCAATCCACTTATACTCTATGACTAATAACAATAATTCTTGAGCATTTGCTATGTGCCCGTTTTGTTCTTAGATTGTTACACTCATTAGCTCATTATAATCCTCATAACATTCCAAACTAGGCACAATTATCTATAAAATAAGACAACTGAGGCACAAAAGTTTAGGCAACTTGTCCAAGTTCACATACAGCGAGTGATGGGTTTTGGGTGTTAATTCAGTCAATAACTCCTCAGCTATACTAGTATTATTATTTCTTCCTGAAATTGCAGTTGCTTGAAGCAAAGACAACTTGGTTGCAGTTCAAAATTTTATATATAGAAGGGAGAATAAAATGGATTTATAAATAGCTACTGTGAGCACCTTGAGGTGATCATACTAGGTGTTGAATATTTAGAACAAGTGAAATCACATGCAGAAGGATGACTCAGAAAATCTAATGTAGAAATGATATATGTAAGATAGGCCTTGAAGCACATCTGGAAGACTTGAAGAAGAGAATTCCAGCTTGAGAGGACTTCGGAAAAGAATATAAAGTAACCTGGTTGGCTATAATCAAGGGTTCAAAGGAAAAAAGCTGAAAATGTAGATGAGGGACCTGAATATAGAGGTGAGAATTATTTTGGTAGGAAACACTTTGGTTTATTGACAGAGTAATAGTCATCTCATTTGTGGTTCAAAAACAATCTTTTGACCACAAAGAATGGACTAGAAGAGAGAATAGAACTAAAATTAGGAGGCTTTTATAACAGATCAGGCATAAGAAAATGAGGGCCTAAACTGGGGAGTGAAGAAGAAAGGGCTGAGCCCTGGCCAGTGGTGCAGTGGGTAGAGCGTGGGCCCACAGACTGAAGGGTTGTAGGTTCAATTCCTGGTCAAGTGCCGGTTGCAGATTTGATCTCTGCCCCTGGTTGGGGCACATGCAGGAGGCAACTAATAGGTGTGTCTCTCTCACATCCATGTTTCTTTTTCTCTCCTCTCTCTTCTCTCTCTCTCTCTCTCTCTCTCTCTCCCCCCCCTGCCCACTTCCTTCCACTCTCTAAAAATCAATGGAAAAAATATGCTCACTCCTTGAGTGAGGATAAAAAAAAAGAAGAAGAAGAAGAGAAGAAATGGCTGAGACAGACCATGGGAAATATGTGTATAGTGACCCAGGTCACTTGAGCAACTCTCTGTACATCTTGACCGGAGAAATCAAGGCAGAGAGGGGGACCACATATACACAAGAGTTTATAAACCTGGGTGACTAGGAGAAAACATTATCATTAGTCTTACAGCAGAAACAGAAGAGTCAGGAGGAAGCATGATGTTTGTCTGGGTTGGAGTGGCAGAAGATGAACAGAAGAACAGAATATGAATATGAATATTCTCAGAACAGACATTCAAGACACAGAAGATGAAAGCTGCTCTGAATTGCTATTTTTGGGGAGAATGGGGGAGAAATCCCTAACTCTAAAAAAAAAGATAAATATTTTTGAGCCTTACTGTATCTTCCAGATTTTTTTCAAATTCCTCCAGAAATCGAGTCATAGCAGGATCACCTTCAAAATCATTAAAATGATTATTTACCCATAATAAAACAATCCGTGTTACCTGTGGAAACATGAAGAAGGCAGTGTGATGTTACGAAAGGCATTCTTTCACAAAGGATTCCAAAACATGCCCCAAACTGAGTTTTACGGCTAACCCCCTCCTCCCTTTCCTACACATGACTAACACCCTCTTCCCTTTCCTGCACTCAAAAGGTTCGTTCTAACAGAGAGACATAGTTTAGTTGAGCTTGGGAATACAAGTAACATAGAGCCAAGACTCTGTTCTCAGTGAGAATATACAAACCTGGATGTTAAGATGTAAGCACATGAGATATATATTTCAGACAGTATCCTAAAATGCAAGCTTCTGAGGACAAACATATAAAAAGTGTTGCCATAGCCAAGACCATTTAACCAAAATTATAACAAAAACAGATCTGAGATTTACTTCATTTATAAATACCATGAGTTTTCAAAGTTATGAATTGCTTTTACTTTGTGTCACAAATTAACAGAAAAATTAAAAGCTAACAAATGGAAGTTGAATAATGTGCCTAGCTAACTATGCAATTTATGTCATATATTTTAAAAATTATGATAGAATACACATAAAACCACCATTTGACCACTTTAAATGTTGGCATTTAGCTCATTCACAGTGGTGTGCAACAATCACCATTACCTAGTTCCAGAACATTTTCATTGCCCCATTCTATTAAGCAGTTATCTCCCATTCTGGCTTCTCTGCAGCCACTAATTTGCTTTTCTATGTGTATTTGCTCATTTTGGATATTTCATACAATATGTGAACTTTTGTGTCTGGTTTTTCACTTAGCATATTGTTTTCAAGGACCATACCTGTGATTCATTCCTTTTCATGGTTAAATAATATTTCATTATATGGCTATACCACATTTTAAATTTTGACGAAACTCAATTTATTTTTTCCTTTGTTGCTTGTGCTTTGAGTATCATATCTAAGAAAACACTGCCAAATCCAAGGTCATGATTTTTGTACCCCTTCTTTTCTTCTAAGAGTTTTATAGTTTTAGCTCTTATTTTAGGTCTGATCCACTTTGAGTTGATTCTTTTGCATGTGGATATCTAGTTGTTTCTACATCATTTTTGTTCACTCTTAGCACCCTTTATTTCCCCACCAATCAAAGTAACTCTTTATAATCTGGGAGGGGGGGAGAAGAGGGGTAAGCCTGTAGTTTTGGACATTTTAGTTTTTTAAACAACAGAATAATGCAATCGAGCTAATTCTAACTTATTTCCTTTAAAATATAACTCAGACACTCTAAGCAATTATGGCCCTACTTTGATGTTTCTTAACATAACAGAATTCCAATTTGCAAGGCATTACCAGTCTTTCCATTATATATATGAATACTCCATGAAATTAGGTAAAATAATCTATTTAAAATAGAAAACTAACGCAAAAAATATTCAAAGGTAGATTTAAATAAGTCACAGCAGATATAAATTAATGTAAAAAAGACCAATTGTTTTCAAATGATACTATAAATAAGAAAAATCAACATACTCTATTTTGGGGCTTATAAACAATCTAAGCCCTCTTGAAAAAAAAATTTACTTCAATAATCTTTCTAAACTACTAATCAACTTTTAACTCTCCTTCAGAAACAATGAAATATTTTGAGAAAGTTCAACAATACTCTCATGTGGCAATTGTGTTTTCTGAATTTGCAGCTACATCACAGCCTTATTTCCGTTTTTGTCTTATAAGGCTCATATCCACTTTTAACACACTATTTTGTCATAAAATAACTATACAGAGATACATCAATACTGGCTCACTATTTTTTCAGGTGAGTTGAATTTTATCAAAATAAAATAAACATTTATCAACTGCAAAAGGTTTTATGAACAAAATTTAAAGGTTAAAATCACTTTCACGTCCCTTATGTTTATAATTACCGCGCTAACCAATTGCGCCACTGGAGCTCCCCTTATGTTTATAATACAAACCTTATCTCTTAAACTGTCAATTCTAAACCATTCCAATAGTTTGATCCCAACATCCAAAGGACTTTCAAGAAATGTCCTATAAGTTAGTAGAAAATCTTCTATGTAAGTTGGGTCCACAATGGAATGTTCTTCTATTAAATGCATGATGAGACGCTCGGGTGTTGCCTAAAAATCCAAAGATAGAAAAGATTAGAAAATAAATAGCTCAAAAATCAAGGAATTCCTATTAATCACTTCCCCTTGTAGCCACTCCATTAGAAAGGTCCTCAAAGAAGAGTGTCTCCCTTAAAACACTTAGCACTGGGATTAGGTAGTCTCTACAGGTTGTAATTCATCAGCACCCAGAGATTTAGAGCAGGGTCAAGGAACGTCCAGCTTGAGGGCTATATAAGGCCAGTGAAATCATTTGGTCTGGCCCTGCCAAGGCAACCGCAGGCGGCACTTGAAATTCAGTAAATCTAGGAGTTTTTTTCACAGCAATATAAATGTATATTAAGTGAATTACAGTAAGTGAATGATGTTATAAATATCCAAATGGCTCTTGGAAGAAAAAAGGTTCCCCACCCTAGGTTTAGAGAGAAAAAAGGCAGAGGAATAAAAATTTACTCAGCTGTAGCTGTTTTTTTATTGGCATTTCATCGTAGCAGGGCTTTTAAATTTCACTGATTAACCCTGGTATGGACTGTTACTGCCAATTATACTGCAAAGGAGGGATGTAATGATGATTCTCCCAAGGCAACACAAGAAAGAGTTGAGGGTTAAAACATTAAACAAAAAAATATCCTACCCTAGCCGGTTTGGCTCAGTGGCTAGCAGGGGTGGGCAAACGTTTTGACTCAAGGGCCACAATGAGTTCTTAAACTGGACCGGAGGGCCGGAACAAAAGCATGGATGGAGTGTTTGTGTGAACTAATATAAATTCAAAGTAAACATCATTACATAAAAGGGTACGGTCTTTTTTTTTTTGTTTTTAGTTTTATTCATTTCAAACGGGCCGTAGTTTGCCCACGGCTGGGCTACAGCATTGGCCTGTGGACTGAATGATCCTGAGTTTGATCCTGGGTACATGCCTGGTTTCGGGCTCAATCCCCAGTTAGGCAGCATGCAGGAGGCAGCTGATCAATAATTCTCTGTCATCATTGATGTTTCTATCTCACTTCCCCTGTCCCTTCCTCTCTGAAGTCAATAAAAATGTATTTTTAGCCTAGTTGGTTTGGCTCAGTGGATAGAGTGTGGGCCTGTGGGCCAAAGGATTCTGGTCAAGGGCATGCACCTTGGTTGCAGGCTCCTTCCCTGCCTGGCCTGTGCAGGAGGCAACCAATCTCTCACAAAGATATTTCTCTGTCTTTCCCTCTCTCTTCTACTCTCCCTTAAAAAAAAAAAAAAAAAAGGAAAACTATCCTCAGGTGAGGATTAACCAAAAATAAATAAATATATCTATATATATATATATTTTTAAAATCCCATTAAAACAAAACAAAAACCCTAACAACTTTCCTCCAAATTAAGTTAATCATATTCCAAATTATCTCCTGCCTCAGGCAACAGGAACAACACACCAGCTCAGGATAGCTTGTTTTATTGTTGTTACTTCTCAGAAGAGAAGTTTCCTCTTCTTTAGTTTCTCCATGCTAGTTCACCATCTTGAGAGGAACCAGAAGTTCTAGAATTTTTACTTAACTCAGAGTTTTAACTGCTTGCCTGTCTCCAAATTTATAAAAAGGAATAAAATAACATTTATCTACTGCTCATCTTTGAGCTTCTAAGTCAGTGGTTCTCAACCTTCCTAATGCCGCGACCCTTTAACCCCTTCCCCGGCAGAAACGTGTATACTCGTTTTCACAAAATGTTCTTTTTCAGTCGTCGACGAGTATACTAAGAAAATGTGGTAAAATAATATGGTTTATAGGAAGACGAGTTGCAAACTGTTTTCATAACCAGCATCAAAAATACTATATAGAACCAAAATAAAAAAATTAGTCTGAAAAAGAAACGTTTTTAACAAAAAAATTGTTGGGGAAGGGGTTAATACAGTTCCTCATGTTGTGGTGACCTCCAATTTCATTGTTACAAATTGAACATGATTAAAGCATAGTGATTAATCACAAAAACAATATGTAATTATATATGTGTTTTCCGATGGTCTTAGGCAACTCTTGTGAAAGGGTCGTTCGACCCCCAAAGGGGTCACGACCCACAGGTTGAGAATCACTGTTCTAAGTCAATGTTAAAATTACTTTTGCAGCCTTTTCAAAAGTACGTACACAGAATACAGAAATAAACCAGATGCTAAGCCAAATATAAAAACATGACTGCTGTCCATAACCTCAAATTTTAATTTGTTTTATTCATCCAAATAATTCATGGGTTAAATAACTATATAGAAAATATACACTAATCCTAACAATGTTCATAGCTAAGATATTTTTTAAGTACCTATTACTACCAGTGTATGTAAATCATTCTTCTAACAGGAAGTCAGAAATAAGGCTCTTCATTTAACCTACTTAAGGAAAAAGGCAACACAGGTCATTCCCAAACTTCTCCCACCCTCCAAAACATTCTACAAGCACCAAACTGGGTTTATTATTTAGGCTAATCATGATTTGAAGTCACTTAAATCTGGTTCTTAGATCATGTATGTAAGTCATGGGTGGAAATGATCAACATGTTAAAGGCCATTATTCTGATGGGCTAAATCAGTGATTTTCAACTTGTGTGCACTGATAATTTTTAAAACATGCAATATTTGACTATCTAGTCAGGGGCACTGAACTCTTTTCCCTCAGACTGTCAAATAAAAATATGACAAGAACCAACACAATAGGTGGACGGTGTGAATGAATTAAAACTATACCTATATTTGTTGTCAGGTTGGCAAAAAATATATTTCTTGGTGTGCCACAGAAATTTTAATAACTAGTTTATGTGTACCATGAGATAAAAAAGGTTGAAAATCATTGGGCTAAATCATTGAGGCAGGATACTTGTGGGGACTAGGCTGACTAAGTCATTGAAACACAAGAGCTGAGGAGACTAGGTCATATATTTAAAACTTTATATAGAGTCATGCAAAGACATGTCATTGAAGTGCTCAGTAGCATCCAATAAGCTGGATACTGGGAGACAGTGAGTATAGAGCTGGCTGGTAAAGGAGATTCCTGGCTGTAGAGATTGGTTATGATGAGCAAATAAGTAACTATACAAAGCATAAAAAGAACCACTATTGGGGAAGCTATTTACAAATATAGAAAGGAAAAACTAGAAAAAACTGTTGTAGCCTGGCTGGTATGGCTCAATGGTTGAGTGATGACCTATGAACCAGAAATTAAGGGTTCAAATCCTGGTCAGGGCACAAGCACAGGTTGCAGGCTCGATCCCCAGCAGGAGGCGTGCAGGAGGCAGCCGATTGATGATTCTCTCTCATCACTGATGTTTTTATCTCTTCCTCTTCCTTTATCTCTCTGAAATCAATAAAAATATATTTTTTAAAAACCAAACCAAACCAAAAACTATTGTATAGTAATTATTGGAAGTAATGGTAATAACTCAAGATTGTTACAGATAAATGGATATATAAACTTTATAGATGTGTATGTATTTATAGTTAAGACATACATATACTAGAGGCCCAATGCACAAAATTCATCCAAGAGTAGACTTCCCTTCCCCCGGCTGCCAGCACCAGCTTCCCTCTGGCAACCGGGCCCTGGGCTTCCCTCACAGCCCTGGCTTTGTCTGGAAGGACATCAGGTCTAATTAGCATATTACACTTTTATTATTATAGATTTCTTAGCTCTGCCTGAGGAGAGGCTCTAGAACAAGCATGTCAAATTCGCAGCCCACTTGACCTGCTTGAGAAGCAATGATACTTCAGTGGCAATGAGTAAATGCCCATATCTTGATTTTCAAATGCTATTCTCCAGTAGAATGATCCAGAAACTCTAGAGAAATGGATGGTTACAAAGCTATAAATATAAGGTTAACCTGGAACACCTTGTTTTGCCAGATAATAAGGAAACTCTCAAAAAACGATGGGGACGTGTCAAAAGGACACAGAAGCCTGGCCAGTGTGGGTCAGTGGTTGAGCATTGTTGAGCCATGAACCAAGAAGTCACCGGTTCGATTCCTGGTCAGTAGGGGGTGTGCAGGAGAAGGTGACTGACGATATTTCTCTCTCATCGATGTTTCTATCTTTCTATCACTTTCCCTCCCTCCACTCTCTCTAAAAGTCAATAAAAACATTTTTTTTTTAAAACAGGATACAGCAATCAGTCTTAAGAGAATCTCACTGGCCAACTCTGGGAAAATTTGACCACTGAAACAACACTGACGATATGAGAATGCTCATCTTTATAGTTGAATGACAATAAATGTAGAAAAAAATAATGGAACTAGAAAGTAACCATATTAGGCAGGAATAGTCAATAGAAGTAAGGCTGGTGGGCAGAGACTTGTAGAACAGATTGCCACTATCCCAGAACATCTCTCCTCCAAATACTCATCAATTACAAAAGGTAAACGGTAACTTTTCAGTGAAAAAAGTTACAAAAAGATATCCACCTGACCAGGTGATTAAGATGGTGGGACAGGTTGACATGTGCAACTTGATATGAGGCACTGAAAAGAGCACACCATTTATGTAGAATTCCTGCCAGGATTGCATGACTTTAGTGTAGTCATCAGGAAACATTGAATAGATAGATGCAGGCTGAGGGTCATACTATAAAATACAGGGCCTGTATTCTTTATAACTACTGAAGGGAAAGACTGTTCTTGGAGAAGACCTAAATGCAACTGTGTTCCCAGATAAGATCCTGGACCAAAAAGGAAAAAGATCTGTTGCTGGGATAGTTGCTAAAAATTTAAATAGGGTCTGTGAGCTACATGGTTTTACTTTATCAATGCTCATTTCCCAGCTTGAAGGGTTCTATGCTGTTTACATAGTAGAGTGTTTTTGTTTTAAGGAAATACATATGGAATATTTAGGAGTGATAAGGCATCACATTTACAGATTGCTCTCAGTGGTTCAGAAAGAGACTGCTGTTAATGGAGAAATGCAGTGAAATGTTAACATTTGAGGAATCTGAGTCAGGGAGCTCTCTGTAAATTTGAAAAAATCATTTAAAAATAAAGCATTAAAAACCATAAGCCCCACACAGGCAATCGATCCATATGTTCATCTTTTCTACATACAAAACTTACACTTATCATAGAAAAAAAAAAGTGAGGAACAGCCTGACTCCTGACTCCAATCTGACATCAGTCCCTCATATGATTAAATAAGCAGTTACACTTGTAACACTTACTTATTTTGCAACCAAGATTAATTTTAAAAGAGAAATAGTCATGTGATTATTTCTTCTCTTATAACTAGGATTGCTCTATTTTATATCTAGAGGGCTTTAAATAGACAGGAGAGTGAGGGGGTGATCAGAGGACAAGAGGGAACAGGGTAGAAGAGAGAGGAAGTTAGAGAAGGGAAAACATCACGGACATCGATACTAATATTCTACAATGTGCAATCATTTTATTTACCTCATTTAGCCCTAATAAAGGCTTTCATATCACCCACATTTGCAGACAAGACAACTAAGGTTCAGAAAAGTTAATGCCTATTTCAACATCACAGAGATCCGCTAAGCACTGCATCTTCATCTAAGATTCCTTATGCCTTTATGGTTGGTCCTTTCATTTTCTGTTGTTTCTAAATATTGTTGTCTTTCATGAAATTAACTCCTATTATCAATGGATCACAAAATGAATTTAAGAAGAAAAACTTTGACCAGTATATCCTAAAATAATATCCTATCCATACTAATGTTAAACAGCAATGTCACCCTTCATCAATAAAATGTGTAAAAATCAACTTTAAAAAAAGCAAAAAGAACCAATAGTTATTTAAGTTAGATCTCAAAGTTAATCAAATATCTTGCACTACTCAAAAAGTGGTTCAAAGCCTTCTAGTCAAGATGAAAGCTTTATTCTATCAGTGACTAGAATAATAAGTAAAAACACTCACCTTGATTACAATGTGTCCTTTCCTGGTTCCACTCCGATCTAGTTCACGGTGCTCATGCACCATAACAATTTCTCCCTCTTCTTCAACTTTATGGGTATTTTTTTCCACATGATTTAAAATTCTCCAATAATCCTGCTGGGCTATGCAGACAAACTGTCCGAGAACAACATGGGGACAATTAACAAATCTGTAGTACATAAATATATCACTTCGCACCAAGGCAGAGCACAAAGGTAGGAAATCAAACGGCATCAGTTCTTTTTTATTCAATCCCTTTAATTCTTCACAAAAATCAAGATGAAATAGATAACTCACGCACAGAGACCAAGGAGTTTTTGATTTTGAATTCTGCTCTAAAAGGAGAAGTGAACTATTCTCAAAACTGATACTATGCAAAGAAAACATGAAGCGGGAATTAGAAACAACTCAGAAGTTCCTATTTCCTTCCTTTATTTAAAACAAGAAAAGAAAAAAGAATGAACTGGTTACTACCGGATAGAAATTTAACAAACCAATATTTGGTATACCCTCTTAAAAATTTACAATTTGTTCAATCTCACAAACATGTGAAATATAAAATCTAATTTCCTTTATTAAATGTGAATTTTCGAAACTGATAATTTTCAAATAAAGCTATTTTATTTTAAGGAAGGAAAAACAGGCTCAGCCATTCTAAGTCAACAAATGAAGAGTACAAGACCAAAGACATAAGCTTACCTGGCAATCATCTACTTTAGTCCTAACAACTCCATGCATGTACTGCTTATCCAGAGTGGGAGTAATTCCAAAACTATTTCCCATAAAGAGATTTTCAACTTTTCCATCTGAATGGCTGATTTCTACAGTGCCATTTAAAATAACATACCATGAGTCAAGCTATAGAGAAAAAGACAGGTTTTAAGAATCTTAAAAAAAAAATTATATGTTAACTTGGAAAAATAATCAATATATAGAACTTGTATAATTTAAAAAAGTAAAGGGAAGGTCTGATTATATTACTAAATACTGTCAGTAACACCTGATGCCGGCCTATGCAAACCATAGAAGCTTATTTGACTCTTTCTTCTTTTAGTCACCAAATTAGTTCTCAAAGAATTTCCATCAAACTTTAAAATGACTTGAATATCAACATAATATTACATCCCGTGGTTTATAATAATTCAGTTAACCACTCTGATAATTGTATTATTTTTGGTCATTTCCAATTTTCACTATTATAAATATGCTTCAATGATCACCTTTTGGCATGAATCTTTGAGTTTTATATTATGTCCCAAGGAAAGACACTCATAAGGGGAATGATAGATTAGAAACTATTAATACTTTGGGGCCCATGTTAAAAATTTCTAAATGACTTTCCAGAAAAAATACTGGCAATACATAATGTTCACTGACTAACATCTCAGAATTAATTTTTATCAGTTTAATAAGAAAAATAGTGAAGTACTTTCTAACAGTAATAATACCTTTCAATTTCTCTGCATTCTCCCCTCACCTATCCACGAATTGGCAGGGAGCATTTCTGAACATAGAATTGCTATATAAAGGCCTCAACTGACAGCAGTCCACTGGGAGGCATCTGTATCAATGCTTCCCTCATTCTTTTTTTAAAAAACATTAATATACAAAAGGGATAAGGACTGTTGAGTAAATACCTGATAAACATTTTAAACAATGATATAAATATACGAATAGAATAATAATGACGAATTTTAAAAAATATCTTATGACTTAATTTGAGAAGTAAAAACAAATGTGGTTCAATGAATAGTAACTATTAAACATTTATTCTATGCTAGGAAATAAAAATTAAGAAAAAATACAAAAACAAAAGTAATAACTTATCTCTTAAGAAATTGTAACTACCGCAAACTTGGCATTCATTTAAAAATAAGTGTATTGCCCTGACCTGTTTGGCTCAGTGGATAGAGCATCGGCCTGCGGACTGAAAGGTCCCAGGTTCGATTCCGGTCAAGGGCATGTACCTTGGTTGCGGGCACATCCCCAGTGTGCAGGAGGCAGCTGATTGATGTTTCTCTCTTATGGATGTTTCTAACTCACTGTCCCTCTCCCTTCCTCTCTGTAAAAAATCAGTAATATATATTAAAAAAATAAGTGTATTAATTTTAAGTCAAGATTCACACAAGTTTATGGAAATTATATTATTCTAAAAATTACCTCCCATATTATATAGTGTGCAACATTTATTTGCTAACCTACCTCTTGTCCATCTTCAACAATAATAGCTCCAGCCTGCTCTACCACTTCAAAAATCATCACTGAGCAGAGTTCTCTCCTTACACTCATGGTCATGTTTGCAAAAGCAGGGAGCTGGTGCATAAACTCCAGTAATTGTTCTATTAAAAAACAGAAATTGTAGTAGTACAGAGACCATCAAGGACACTTTAAACATACAATACAATTTAGAATTCAATGCCCAATTTCCCAATCAACTTATGAATATATGCTGCTAACGTAGAGAAATCAAGGCACAAGATAAATGTTGGTTAAAAAAATCAGTTATTTGGTTAATAGATGTATTCAGACTCACATGAAAATATAGACACACTGGAAGATACCAGAAATCACAAACTCCAGACAGAAGCAGGAAACTACAGATTTGGATGAGGGTAGAGAATTATCTTATTTTCCTAGCCTGAGATGCCACTACATAGTGGTTAGTATAGTGATGTCCTTTGATCTAATGGATTAGTGAAAAAGCATTTCATCTAGTTCTTATTGGGCTAGAGTTTAAAAGAAAAATATTATTAATAAATGTCAATAATTAATTAGAAATAACAAATGTAAATTCTAGTTCAAGATTTTTCAAAGTAACACAAGGTAATTCTTTAACCAACAAATGTTTGAGTGCCTGTCTTAGGCCATTCCCTGGTATAAATACATGTGTAATAAAGATAAATATAAGGAAGAAACATATATAAGCAGTCAGCTAAGGGCTGACACAGAAATAACTATAAGATGCTATCCACCCACAGATAATTGGGAGTTTGTTATTTTCAATTTTTAAAAAGTGTTGTGAAAATAGCATAGTATGCAATTCTTCATCATAAAAAACGCACTTTCAGTTTTTGTCCAGATAATATTCACAACATGAAACTAAACTGTAGGTTACTTAACTATATGTCATTAGAGTGGCAAGGAATGTTCAAATGTATTGACTTATACTCACACAGATTATGATTACCATTAATACCAGCATCTTCTGATTTGAACAGCAGCAGTATGACCATTATAACAGAAAAATCTAGGATAAAATCTTAATTGAATCGTAACAATATGTAATGAAAATAAATCTTTGTCTTTAAAGATAACATTAGCATCTTTAGCATTTTTTTCCTTCTTTCTTTAGCATTATTTAACCTCTGGAAGTTACTACTGTAAGAAATTACATAAAAGAAAATTCACAGTTTTAACCAAAAATTACATACTTACACATATTTTCAAGCTAGAGAAGTAAAAACATTTTTTATAACATAAATTTTTTAAAAAAAGCTAATTCACAGACATTGGACACCAATGTACTATGTTTTAAATGTCTCATAAGCACGAATGGGAAAACCACTTTAATGGAATCAAAGCTTTTGTTTTATAAATTTGGGGAGCCAGGATGTGAGTGAGAGTGGTCTGGCTGTGACATCTGTTTGACTTTCAGGGTTGACTCAGTTGATCTGGTAGGCTAGGGAGGTGACCCCTACCTCCCTCACAGTTCCATGAGCATCCATGCCAAAGCTGCATGCTTGAAAAGGACAACCATCCCCAATAGAGGAGGACTGTTCTTCAATCAAGGGCATACAAGTGTCTGTGCTCCCGTTAGACCCTCTATACAAGCTCTCATATTGGGGTACCAACCTCAAAGACGGCCCTAAATGACACCTCCCTCTTGATATTTATGTCCTCATGCATTCACCTCCTAAATTGTATGAGGGTTGCTGTGTGTGACAAATAGAACTTTGAAGAAATAATGATGTCAATCCTGAAGCCAGATCATAAAAGATACTGTGGCACCTGCCTTACCCCCTTAGATTACTTGCTTTGGGGGAAAGCCGACTGCCATGCTGCGAGCACTTTTAAGCAGCCTCTGGAGAGACCACATGATGGGGACTTGAGGCCTTGTGCCAAAAGCCATGTCAGTAGCCACCTTGGAAATAGGTCCTCTAGCTCAATCCAGCAAAGCCTCAGATGACTTCAACCTTCATATTACAACCTCATGACACTGAGCCAGAACCACTCAGCTAAGCTGCTCCTGAATTCCTGACCCAGAAAATATGTGGGGTTTTCTTGTATTGCTTTTTAATTATTGACTCTATTACAAATGTCTCCCATGTCTCCCCAGGTGTGTTGCCTGCCAATGTGTGTTGTTTTAAGTCACTAAGTTTGGGGATAATTTGTTATGCAGCAATAGGTAACTATATCTAAGTTAAGCTATAAAATTCTTATTGTGAACAGATGTTTTTCTTACCAATGTCATCATCAGTTTTGTCTGCAGGTTCTTTTTCAAGACATTCTCGAACAAGATCTCGCCCCTGCAGTGGATCTGTTCGATCAATCTCTTCATCTTCCTCCTCTTCATCTTCAGAATCAACAGGTCCTTCTGGAAGACGTGTTAAATCTACATCTCCTACCTCACTTTCTGTAGCCTACAGAAAGAAAGCTTCATGTTATAAAAATTGTATGTCACAGTCTGAATTAATCAAAACTATCCCTCAATACCAAATATTATAAAGAATTAGGCAATATTTTATATTGTATCAAAAAACAAAATGAGATTTATAAAAAGTTTTCTCTCTGCCCAAAAGAGTCTCATCATTCCATGGTGTGACACTTAGGTGATATATCTGACTTGGTAAATAGAAAATGGTTAGAAGACTAAATGTTTTAATACCTGTTTTCTACAAATACTTGCATTTCTTAAAAATACATTTCCTAAAGCATGAAGTGTAAGAAATAAAGACAGTTTACCAACAATCACTTTATAAGTACTTATGAGTTTACACTGTGTGTTGTATATAAAATATCACTCTTTCACCACTAAGGTTTAGAGCAGCCGTGGGCAAACTATGGCCTGCTGGCCAAATCCGGCCTGTTTGAAATGAATAAAACTATTGAAAAAAAAGACCATACCCTTTTATGTAATGATGTTTACTTTGAATTTATATTAGTTCACACAAACACTCCATCCATTATTTTGTTCCGGCCCTCCGGTCCAGTTTAAGAACCCATTGTGGCCCTCAAGTCAAAAAGTTTGCCCACTCCTGGTTTAGAGTCTAGTAGGGTAAGCAATCATGTAAATTAAGAACAGAAGTATAAAAGAGGTAAAGAGAGGTACTGAAAAGTGCTAAAATAGACCAACTATGAAGGACTCAACAAATATTCATGACTTCCCAATGCCTTACTTGAATCTAATATTGTGCCAATAAAGAAGATCAGAGATTATTTTAACCAATCTTTAATATAAGCTTATATTTATAACCTCAACTCTGGAAACATTAGTCTCATTAGATACTTGTAAAGGAACTAGCAGATTTTTTAAAACCTGTAAACTTAAATATCAGTTACAGAAAATAATGAAGATATCTTTTAGAAAATAAAATTGTCCTGAAGTGAATTTGCTGTCAAAATTTCTAAATATTGCACTCACCTGATACGTATTAATAAAATAACATGAATACTGAAGCAGTTACAGAAAAAATGAGTTGACATAATCTTCAAATATTTAAGCCTCATCTCCTATCAAACATTCACTGTTTACTCTGCATAGAAGAGGATCTTCCTTCTTTCAGGGAATTGCTGTTCTCCTCCAACCTAACCCAGAGATTACAGTGGGGAACAGTGCCCAGTCTCTGGCTATGTAAGCTAAGATAGAAAGACCTCTTGTCTGGATTTTTATAATTAGAACTGGAGGGCAGAGTGTCCTTTTTCCTCTGGTTCCTTAATCAGAAGAATGTGATGCAGAGCAGCACGGGAGAAAATGTAACTAATAGGCAGAGAAAGAGGCAGGGGAATTGGAAGTACACTGAACAAGAGAGACAGACAAAGAAAGACAGCACAACAAAGCAATAGAAACAGAGCATGCAGGATAGGGCATAGCACAAAGAGCATCTGACAGAAAGTACCATAGGAGAGAGAGAGGAAGAGCAAGCAAGCTACCAGGCACCAAAGGACTAGAGAGGGATGGGCAGACGCACCTGCAAGATCCAGGTTCCCTGAGGCTGGAACTGTCTCTGCTTTCTCTGTGGGTCAATCAATTACCCTTTTGGGCTACTGTTAATTCAAAGTTAAAACTGATACTGGCAACTGAATTTGTTTTCTAAGATTCTGTTTTATACTTCCTTCAGATTTCTGCACAGCTTTAAGAAACAACTAGTTTAAACCAGATTAAATACTCAACTTCAGATCTCTAAGATTAGACCTGCTGTTAAGGATAATATAAGAGCAATTCTACCTCATGACTAGTATGCTCTCCTGAGTTATTTTTTGGCTATAGACCTTTAAGGTTTTAGTGGAGTATATTTCTGAATAATATACCTTCAGAATAATATACAAACTTCCTAACAGATTACAATCCCTTTTCAAAGACATGTGTACATGCTAAAATGATTTTTCCACAAGTCTAACTTATTTACATAAACTGATATTAATACAAGGACGTAGTGTTAAAAAAACTAAAGCAGTATTTTGCACACAATTTTTCAGAATACAGAAGCTCATCCCAGGAATAGCCTTTTTCCCCTTTATCAATTCTCAAGGACAATCGACCTTATAAATTTGAGTTCTTAAACCACACCTGTCCTCATTAATATCAGGTTTTCATCCCCTGACCCAGATTACTTCAACTTTTAGGTTATGTCTGATAAAAAGATGGTTGGCTCATAACAAAAAAGCAAGATGCAGTTCAATTATATGGACAATAGGGAAGGTGTATTGTCATCTGCCTGAGGAGTGAAGACATTTAAGAAAATACCTCTTTAGAGAGAATGGAAGTCATAGGTAGGGATGGGGAAAAGACTACTAAAGAACTCTTTTAGGAAACTTTTAAGGCCATGTGCAAGTAAAATAATTTAATCTATCCTTACAATTGTCTTCTCCTGCCTGTCTTTTTTTCAAAGTAGGATACAAAGAAAAAATATGAATAACATTAGTTATGAGAACATACTAAACTGTTAAAATGTTAAGCATATACAAGAGAAATATGGTGTCAAAATAAGAATTAAGAATAAAAGTAAGAAAAAGTGGCCAAAAACATACTAGGAAATTGAAAGTTTTGGTAATTTAAAAATAAGTAAAATAAAGTGAGCTACATAGATGGAGTCCAAAGTCTAATTCCTGGACTAAAACAAAGGAAAGCCATGTCTTTAGGTAAAGTTAGATACGATGACCACCACCAGGACTGGAAGTCACTGAATGATGCTTCTCAGGATACAATTCCTTGGCAGAAAATTTAATTCTATAGTAACTAGATAAGAATTTTTAAAATGTATCTTTAATGTCCAGCATATAATAAAAACTTACTAGGTAGGTGAAGGAGCAGAGATGTGATCTGTACCAGGAGAAAAATCTATCAATATAAAGAGGGCCAGGAATGACAGAGATGATAGAATTAGAAGACATGAACTATAGACATTTATTATCAAGAAGTTAAAGAATTTAAAAGAAAATACAAAAAATTTAGGGAGAAAATGGGAGATCTCAATAAAGAAATCCAAACTGTGAGAAGAGTGAACTTGAAGGTCAATAAAAAATACCCAAACTGAAGCAAATAGAGGGCAAAAGCCAAAAAGAAAATTCAACAGAGCCTCAGAGATATCAAAAGCTGTTACAAAAAAGGTAGGTCAAAAGATATGCCATAATCATGAAGGTAGGATACACAAAACATCAGAGCCCTGGCCTTTCAATCACTTTATCCTAGCACTTAAAATACAGCAGACCATCAAGAAGATTTTACTAAATTAATTAAGTCCAGAAAAAAAAGTATATTGGTAGAAGGACTGATAAGACAAATATTAAACTTCTTGTGTTTTTCCGTTCCTGCAGTATGAAAGTGTCTCTATGTGTATGTGTAAATATAATTGGTGAGGCAGACAGTCTGAAGTGATTTTCTGATGACTTGGCCAAATAAACCACCAGAGGATTTCCTTTTCCTGTTTGCATCCAGATAAACATGAAGCTACAATAAGGGGAACTACAGACTAGAATGAAGTGTTACACAAATTTACAAAAATCACATTTTCAAATTTAGAGCAAGTATTAAGCCAGAACCTTAGCTCTTCAGTGCTTCTATATTCTGCATTCCTATTTTTAGTATTTCTCTCAACTTGTTTCTTCTTTCTCTTTCTGGTCAGGACAAGAATCCTGTGAAATCAATCCTTCAAAATGTGCTGTCCAGGCTGGCCCATTCCATAATCTCTACAACAGGGCAGGCAAGCAAAGTGAAGCCTCCTTTGCCCCAGATAATTAAGCTAGTCTTGGAAATAACACCGGTTTCTACCTATAAATGTAATTCAACTGAAAAAATTTCTAGGTTACTTCCTAAGTGCTAAAATTGTGCTTAACTCAGTCAGCCTGGGATATACAAGTAAGAAAAAACTCTACTCCCCACAAATGTACTATGATAAAAAAATGTCAAGTGTACACATAACTACACTAAACAAGAGAAGAGAAAGAGACATGACGGAAAAACTGCTGTGAGGTTCCAAGACATGTGAGATAATGTGAAATGTCATCTAGGTGGAGCTGCTGGCACAGCAGCATTACCACACACTGAACTGGGAAAAGGTACATGGTCAGGGAATAGCCATTAAGTTAGTCACGGACAAGATCTACAATGTGCAAGTGGAGAATAGTGGAATATAGACCACATTTGCAGATTGTGGTTAGAAGGGAAAGGCTTGGATATAAATGTGAAATGAAGTGAAGAGCGTAAATTAGGTAACAGTGAAGCACTGAAGCTTTTTAAATAAAGTTATAACTTTTGTTTTCAATTTATTTCAAGTAAAAATTTAAAAAAAGAAAACAAAGATAACAGATATTGACTAGGGCACAGATAATATTCTTAACAAAAATATTAAAGTGGAAGAAAACATGTAGTAGACAAAGCTAGTTGAGGTGTCAAAAGAATATCCCAGTGGAAATGTGACACCAGGGACCTGAAGAGACTGGGCAGTAGAGCTCTGAATTAAGAATCGCTGTAAGGTAATAACTAAAGCGTCAGGATTTTTAGGAACATGTTTCTGTCCTACATAGAAGCTAAAAAATAGAGGTGAGGATTAAATGTGGCCCTCAGATTATCTAAAAGTACAGTCATGTGTCACTGAAAGACAGGGATATGCTCTGAGGAGTTAGGTGATTTTGTCCTTGTGTGGTCACAGAGTGCATTTTTATAGACCTACTACACAGTGGGTCTATATGGTATATATAGACTATTGCTCCTAAGTTTCAAGCCTGTACAGCATGTCACAGTATTGAATACTGCAGGCAACTATATGATGATACTAAATATTTGTATATCCAAACACATCTAAAAATAGAAAAGGTACAGTAATAATACAGTATAAACAAAAGTGTATGTGTTTGTGCACATACTCGGAGGGGGGTGTTCAGAGGAAGGCTATGGGAGAAACATCATTATAGGAAAAGTAGT